CAATATAAGAGATACTTTGCCACACTGGATTAACAAGGACAGTAGAAAAAAAAAAAAAAAACAAACAAAAATCCTTTGGTCAACCGTAAGTATTTTATGTGAAATCTCCAAGTCCCACACACTTACTGCAAAGAGAATGAAGGTCAATCTGGTATTAAGATTTGGACACAGTTTAATACCATTTGGGCAGTCTAATGCTTCCATCACGTGGCACAGCTCGTGTAGTTCTAGCTGCTGCTTTTGTCCATTAAACAGACCAGACTTGCATTTACATTTGCCAAAGTTCTATTAATTCCCACTCAGTACCCCATTCAAGGGCTGCCTGCGTGTTTCAGTAAGCAGCCATTACATTCATTTGCAGCTGAAGAGTTCTAGTGTTTCACAAGCTGCTTGCCTTTTTAGAAAACTTGCAGCTGCAACACCATTTGGGTTACACAACTCTCACATGGAGGAAGGAAAACAATTAAAACATGAAAACAGATCACTGAAGTCTATATAACAGAAATAAGAAATATTTGCCATGCTTGTACTTGGCTACCAATACATGAAAATACTTGAAACAAGTCTGTTGCAGCTAATAATTATTCAGTCATGCCATAAACTGGACTGAAGATATCACTAAAGCTGAACTTGCTAGGCAAGAGATTATTTCCATACTCTCTACAGCAATTCAAAAAGCCACTAGCAATGTTATTTTCTACTTCCCAAAAAGGGCCTCAGCCTACAACAGGACAATAATAATTTGCAAAGATGACATAAGCTATTGTTTAGCATAAATTTTAAGACAGTCAAACAATACACATTTTGCCTGCTGCACAAGAAGCAGAAAGAACCTTTCTTCTACATTCTATAAATATCATGCCTTGGGAAAAGCCACTTGTGTAACTGAAGCTAAACATTATATACAACCACCTAGCCAGAGCAGCAGGCAGAAGCACGATACCCAAACGTGAAAATAAGGGTGGGGAAAAAGAAAAGGCAATATAACCTACCTTTAATCCTTGCCAAGGCAGACTGGTTCTGTTAAAGTACATCAATACATAGCCTAGAGACTCCATGTCATCCCGACGACTGGAGAAAGAGGAAGAACACAATGAATTACAAATTTTGCCATTTCATACTTCATTCCAAATAGTGCAAGCATTCCAAAATTTAAAAAATAAAAATAAAAATTAAGGAATAAAACCTAAGCTTTGGTGCAAAGGAAGGTCTCTTTCTAATACAGCTAAGACATCTAGGTGTTCAGGATTCCACTGGCAGGCATGTAACAAGTCGTCACAAGCAGGAAGGAGATCCTATTCATTTTTCAAGCAAGAAATAGTCAGTAGGTATTGTGTGTGGCAAGTTTCCATCTGTAGTTACATTAGAATAATTTGGGAGACAAAAACTTTGGAAAATAAAGAGTGAAACATTAAACATCTTTCCCATTTAATTAAGTAGCTTGGATAGAAACTAAAGTTTTACCTGTAGGAACCACGGAATGCATTGTAAGAGAGATACATGACGTTAGCCTCAACTTCATTAAGGAAGATTTCTCCCTGAACCTTGCCTCAGTCTGGGACCAATACTGAACATCTAGCCCCAAAAGGGCATTAACTCCCTTCTTTCTTCACTTCTGCTAAAAAACCTTGAATTGCCTCCATGATTTTTAAAAGACAAGCAATATTTAGAAAGGTACATGCATCAATCCGAGAGGTGCCTCTGCTTTCTTCCCATAAGAAGTCTGTTTTAAGGCAGCTAGAGAACTCCAAAGTTATCCATCCATAGACTTCACTGAGAATTTGCACGCAAACTCATCTAAAAGGCTTCAAATGTTTTCTGTACTGCATATGCTCCAGATCCACGCTTCAGCCACATGAACACCATCATACACAGCTTTCATGATTACTGAGGCTAGTACAGTTCACTGAAGTGGAAAAAATGCTCCATGATTTTTTTCCTCTTGGCAAAGTTGCCTCTTCCCAGCTGTGGTCGAATTAGATTTTTCCTCTGACTGCCCCTCTGCAGCTAACATCTATTTATCATGAGACAGAAAAATAACTTATTTTTCTCCTCCCAGCTCCCTTATCAAGAGAACCTGACAGGTATTGCTGCTGCTTTGCCACCCAGGGAGATCTGCAAAAAAAGCATTTAAACGGTCGCAGGAAAGACTATGCACCTACTACCCCTACAAGGGAGCAAAAGGCTGAGAGTGGTATTGCAAACAGGATTATACATACGGGTGAGGGTAAAACAGCTACCTTTAAATGAGAACAGTCTGTAAGAACCTGGACAGATCTACCTCCAAATCTCGGTATGAGAGGAAAGAAGTTGTAGGTGATACTTTATGTTACAGTCAACCCCATATAAACACTAATAATCACCAGAATGGCATGCCTGTCACCCCCTCAACTCATGTTGCAGCTCTCTGACCCTTTGGGGAACTAGTTCAGGGAGCTATCCCAGAAGAATATCAGCATTGCTCCCTAAGCCATTTCACCACAAGGCCAAAAAAGCACTAGCTGTGCCCAGGGGTCAGGGAAGGTAAGATTGGTTCACTCCTCTTGACAGCAGCTAGCTCTGAGGTCATCTCAGCTGTAAAGTGAAACCACAGCCAAAGACAGAGGGATGAAAAATGATACTAAGACCACAAATCCAGCCTGCAAAACTTGCTAATTATATTAGAATTGCAGATTTTAATCATCAACAGGATTCAGTGAACCGGTATGGGGCCGTGACATAAAATTATGTTTTCTGAGAAGGCAGTGGTAAATTCAGAAGCAATAAAGGGATTAATAGGTTCCACCCCCCATCCAGTTAATTGTTTTAATATTTAATTTCATGATTTTGTAGTAGGAAACATTTAGCTCTGTAGATCTGTAATGGATATATTACATTTGAGCATATACTGATAAATATGATTTTCAGGATTTGGAAGACAGGACAATACTCTCCATTACTAAAACAAGAAATGAATAACATTGCAAACAGCTCTGAGAATAGCTGTCACTACATATAGGAAAATATGTTCTGTAACAGTTAAAGTACAGCACTAACAGTTGAAATATTCAGCCATAAGCTTCAGGACTAGTTTCTCTTGATTACAGGAAAATATTATTTGTTTGCCTCACTGTTAGCTTGATCTAGACAGTTTAATAGCTTTTAGCATGCACCAAGCTACATTTCTAATTATATTAGAATTCCCAGTACTAGCAGAGATGATACAAGACCTCCAACTAAATTCAAAAGCAATAGTCCTTTGCAGTTCCCTCCCTTCACTGTAAGGTGCTAGCACAGCTATTCCCTTACAAGGATGGCTTGGGTTCTATGAAATGTACTTACTTCAGAAATGACACCTGTCATTTACCTTACTTGACCCACATGTCAAACAGGTCTAGATAATGACACTGACAATAAAATACACTTGAGGAACCTTAGAGAAATTAAAGCAAAGAAGAAACATGGAGCATTTTAAAGCACCAAATATTTGTAAGTTACATGGTCAGTTGAAGTTGACCACTAGAAATTCTGTCATTCCCATCTTGATTAAACTGAAGGTCAGAGGCACAGGCATTCATGGAAGTTTTAACTGTGGCTAAGCGACCTCAGCATCATGTGATAAAGCCACACTATTACACTTACACATTACAACATCTAGGCATATAGGTAAGGAAGAGAAGGGAAGCATCACTTCATATCTCATGAGTACCTAACATACACTTCCAAACAATGTAAAGTGCTATCTCCAATGGACCGCTGCTAGGATACTGCAGTAGCAATATGCTTTTGATCCAGATGATAAAAATGTGTTTGTTGATTAAGGAAAGCTCAAACATATAAATACACACAAATAGACATATATACATACATACAGATCCACAACTATGGTTGTGTATACCAGAAACCAAAATACAATGTGAGTGAAGTAAAAGATCTTTAAGTCTTGCCTGCAGACAAAAGGATAAACAATAGTTCACTAACTTGAAGGGAGAGTGAGAAAACAGGATACAGACACCAGCTTTAGAATACCCTTTCTGGCTACAGAATTGCATCTCAAGCCAGTCAGCAGTGCCATCAACAGGTACCAACACAATCAGGAAAGTGCACCACTTTATTTGTGTAGGTCCTCTGACAGATCCACAGGGAAGTATAGCCTATCCTTTAAAAAAACAAAACAGTATGCAGAACATCCACCTCATGCCTGCAAGACTTAGACTCTCTTCAAGAAGCAAATTAGGTGCTTGGATTTTTTACCCTACCCTTGAATAGGCAGCCAAAAAGAAAAGCACTTGCAAAGGGATATATACACTTATTCATATAAAATTAGTTCAGACACTCCAGAAGCTTACAAATAAGATCATCTTGCAGCCTCCAAAGTGCAGCAGTAACCTCCTTGAACTCACCTCTGTTCAATGCCAAGATGTGCATTGATACTGGCATATCGAGCTGTGCCAGTGAGATTTTTGTCTTCTCTGTATGGTATGTGTTGCCTTGTCCTGTTGTCCCGGTACTTTTTGGCCAAACCAAAGTCAATAAGGAATAACTTAAAGAAAAATGAAAATAGATTATATTCCTATACAGTGCAAGGAATCCCCAACCTCTTTCACTAGGCATTAGCTACATTTTGACACCCACACAATGTAACAGCCTACAGTTAAGAGAAAGCAAAGTAACAGTGCAGAGTCACAACTAGCTTTAACTAGCCAGTTCAAAAACTTAATAGGGAATTAGTTCAAGCCTTTTCTCAATCCAGTGGAATAGATTAGATTGTGCTACTCGGCATCTGTAGCTTAGTTCTACAACTATTTTATGTTACTATTGTAGTTTGTATCACATTAGCTCGATAACTACAGTGCACAATTTAGGAAGGAAACTAGTATGTGCGAAAGCACACTTCACAAACCCACTCACACTAGAGCAGTTTACACATACAGACAGTTAATGGCAGCTCAGCAGCTTAATGCGAATGATGCACATCCTATATTCTTCTCTAGGTCTCAAAGAATACTGGCCATTCTGCAGAGCATAAGGCCAAAACCTTCAACAGCAAACAAGACATCTTGCTCTCAATCATACGCTCATTTTAAGACTACCAGAACACTATCAGAGCAACACGACACACTTGCTGATGATATTAATACAGCCAGGAAGCTAGAGCCTAGTACATGGAATCCAATTTAGGTTTCTAATAACCAAGCTTGCCCAATGACTGAGTGCATGCTAATTAGTGTGCTAACAGCCAGCCTATCTACAAAGGTTAATACAGACTGTACCTTCCTGCAACAAGATTTCAGGACTAGGCAAAAAAAGCTGAGGCAGAAGTACACAAGGAACATTTCAAATTCTAGCAATCAGTCTTCAAGCTACAAATCATCAGGCTGAGCTCCCGATTCCAACGCTGGATTAATGCTACAGGATCATGGACTACAACCCCTACAGATTAATGAATACTGCAAAAGTAACTTGGGTGAGGGAAGGAGATGATGGAAAGAAGACATAAGGTTCAAGAAATTCTCAGTAAAAACCTATTCAGTAGGTTCATCACCTTAAAGGTGATTCCAGAACAGAAGATGCAGCTTTAAATGCAAACAAGTGCTAGAGACTGATACACAGGTATACCTGCATTCAAGACTGAAACAAAGGGTCACTCTGGTACACTGAAGTGCTGTGAATTATGAAGTGACACTCAACATGGAAGCATCAAAGATACCGAAAGACTGAAAGTTTCTGAATTGCACGGTAGGTATGTTTTAGAATTCTGGTTGAAGAAGATTTTCTAACTCTGGTAGTCTAGACAGGAAAAAACAAAGCTAAAAGCCTCTTAAACTACTGATGTCAGAGCAGAAAACCTTGAGTTGAAATCTTGCCATGATTTATACGCGACCACAAAGCACAGCAGTTCTACATTTGCTGTTGTAGTGAAAGTCACCCTGGAAGCCCAGAATGCTTTGAGCAAGAGGACTTAAAACCAAGTTTTAAAATCAACTACACTGGTCAGACAGTTCAGGAAAGTGGGGGTCTTGTCTCTGTTGCACCCGCCACAGCTACCACTAGAGGTAGTTATTCACTTAGTGAGCATGGGCATGTTCTCCAGCTACCAGGAAATTAGCAATTTTGATACTAAACTCCTAAAGCAGATAGTATAAAGCTTCTATGTGATTACTATACTGCAAATGCAACTTTCCTAGAAGCAAAGCCTGAGCTCAAATGCGATCGCTTATTTTCTGATTAAAGCTTTCTGATCAGATGACAGCCTCTGACGTATAGTTTGCAACAGCTACTTTTGCAGGGCCTTTGCCCATTAGTTTAAGCAAAATACTATGCCTTGAGAAGGAGGGAAAACCAAACACTATACACATCAGTCAGAATATTTCCACTGCACATTTAGTTACAAACACTTTAAACAATTCAAAGTCTTCACATGCTTTCTGTAATCCTGGGGATCTTGCTGTTAATTAATGGTATGAAGGGACAAAGTCATAGTTCATGAATCAAACTAGTTAACACTGAAGTGTGTCTCTAATACATAAACAGCTGGTATCTAGCCCTGTTTAGCACAGACATGCTAAGACTACTTTCTTCAAAAGAGTTATAAAAGTAAATGATGCTCTGTCTGTTCCACAGCTGCTACGACCTCTCAATATTAGACCTGAACAAGGTAATCCTGCATTCTCTCAAGAGGTATGGGTAGAACCTCTTAAAAAAAAAAAAAGAATCAATTCAGCAACACATACCTATTTTACGCTAGTCAAGTAACTGGATATTGTTTTATGGCACTGATTTCTTGGGAGAAGTTTACTCTGTTCCCTAGCTTAGGCTCATTCTGTATTTCCCATTCTAGATGGGTGGAAGGCAAAAGACTAAGTCCATCTTGCAAAGAGTTAAGTTGGAAGATACAGCCTTATTTGGATGAGCACAGAATGTACCGATGCCAGACAGGAGGAACACAGATGTATTCCCACAGATAACCTCATACCACCTTAATTCTGTTTGTTGCATGATCAGCAGGAAACTGGAGAAGTAGGGCAAGATTTTTGCCAAGAGCAACTAGAGAAGTAGATCAAAGTCTCTGCCTCAACTGATAAGAAAGTTTCAGAAGCAGACAACAGAAGCCTGTCAGCTTGCATACAGCAGCTAGCTGCCTGGGATTTAATACATGAAGACTATCATTGTGGAAAGCTACAGACTGATTCTATGGCCAAACTCCTGAGCTATGATTCATATTCAGCAATTTCCAGCTGTCCTGCTACGAACTGGCATATGTCTTCATTTCTCTCCAATTCATCTTCTCTTTTTAAAGAGTCAGGAGTACTACATTTAACACTACAAGATAAGCTCATGCTTCTCCAAGACACAGCTTATTGGAGTAATTTCATTTTATAAGCACAATGAATGAAAATATGAGAGTCCTCATTACACATTTGGAAAGATTTTGAACAAAAACTGCAAGAGAAGGAGTCTGGCTGAAGCGATAACAGAACTTCTCCACGTGCCTTGAAAGACACTGCAGGAACCCTACAGGAAGGCAAGCAGACAGCCCTATGCAGAAGCCCTGCTATTTCACTAGGGTGGCACATCTATCCTTCAACACATTCAATAGATTGCCTTTGAGTTTTAAAGGACAAAAACAAAACCTGTTTCTGCATCTGAAGTCAAGCAAGTACATTTAGCCCTTTTTAATATCAAGTTTAGAAATAATTCCACAATTTAAACAAGCGCCACAGGGAAACATCTTAGTAATGTTACATGTTTGCCAAGTATGTCTGAATAATGCCAACATAAGAGGTGCTTTTGCAAGGTCTACATTCTCCAGGAAAAAAAAACAAAACAAAACAAAAATAAAGCACATGAATTTGGGGTTGAGGTTGGAATAGGAGACAGTTCAGACCTGGTTTAATCCTGAGAAAGATGGGTCCTGAGAAGTACTAACAGTCATGCTTCTTTTCCTCTTCCCCACTGGAGATTCTAAACACTGAACAAACAATAGAGGGTGGCAGTGCATCAAACAGTATTGCTTACATTGCAACAATGGCCGGCGCAGACAGGCAACACCGAGGCGTTCGAGAAAGAACAGGGTAGCCAAATGCCATCCTTCTTCCACCAAGCACTGTAGTTTTCAAAAAAACTATGTATGTTCATATTTTTATTTTTTAATTTTTTTTTTTTCCAAGGAGAAAATTTGAAAGATGTGACAAGGTAAATTTCAACTGTGAGCCACTCCAAAATGGCACTGCCTTGACCAGGGATAGCAATGGTGACATTTGGCTCTATTAAAAAAGGAAATTGAAGTTTTGCTTACAAAAGCATCATTTGGTTCCACAAACTGCCCTTCCCCCAAGAGACATTTAGAAAAAGTAAATCTTCAGTAAGGAAGAGGTAGAAGGCATTTAGTCACCTTAAAGTTTACTTTCATAAGCATGCAGGGCTTATTTCTAGCAGAGCTGAAAATTCATCTTTTAAGGTGGGAGCAAAATTTCTCCCCATCACCAAATTAAAATTTGAAAAAAAATCAATTTAATTTTTTTTAAAAAAATATAACTGACAGGAAGCTACTGGAACAAGATTACCATGCTATTCTAGTCTTTGTGGCTGATTTTCTTTAAACTGTGCATAGTCATCTCTAAAAAACCCAAAACTACACTTAGTTATAAAAAGAAACAAAGTCAATACTGTATGGTGGCAAGTGTTCCCTAAATAAAGCACTTGGTTCCAAACAGAAGCAACCCATTCCTCATTTTGCTCATGTAAACCTATTAATTTGCACTTCTGTCAAGAACTACCCCCCTAAACTCGAAAACCCTGCAACAGTAAAGAAGCCCATGCCCACAGACAGTGTTTACCACCATATAATTGCGTGGCTCCTTAACTAGTCTACTAAAGGGAAAAAATATAACAGTTTACAGGCAATTTTGTTTTTCATTTCAGCTTATGCAAATCTAATGTGTTCCTCCACTAAAGTAAGCACAGCAGCAATTTCTAGGCCATTAATCCACATCAAGATGAAAGAGTGCAGCAATGCCAACCTAGCATGACTGTGCAAAAGTATAGAAAAATGGCCCAAAAAGAACAATTGGAAATCAGAAACTAAAACTACAAAAAAAAAATTAAAGTTATACTCTAAGTCATGCCAGAAAATTAAGGAGCCTAACTGCTCGACACAGCAGAGAAAAATAGAGCTCTACAGAGTGAAAGTATGAAACTTGGGAACAAGCAAAGTTTAACAGCAACAGGATTACATAAAGACTGCCTTTCAGCTGGACTTACAAGCTTTTCCAACAATGGTTGTATCTAAACATTCAGTGCACTGCACCTCTTCAGACAAGAGCTGTTATCTCATGTTAATCAAGCTTTCCCCTTCTAGTGTTCATGGCCCTGAAGTTGGCATTCATACAGGCAAACAAAGGTAAACATTTTAAATACTAGTAGTGCCTAAAGAGATGAGACATTCTCAGATGGCATATAGAGAAGATAAGTGGGAATCTTGCTTCCAATAAACAGCTTGATCACATACATTTGTCCTGAAGTTAATTTCTATTAAGTAGCATGCTTAATGCATTGCCAATGCTGCCTGTCTGCCCGAGCTCGACATACAAATTGCAGGATTAAGCATATTTCACTCAAGAGAACTAAAAATAAAATAAAAAAAAGTTTTCTTCTATGTAAGGTTTTCAACAGGAAACATGCACTTCTGACTACGTTTACCCATCCAAACAAGTGCAACCACCTCAGCCCGCCCCCGTTTTTTTTCCCCACAAAATAAATTGAGAGCAGTTTTTTGTTGCATAACACATTCAGGTACTCTACAACTTAACAAGTTTTCCATCAACATATTTGCATAATTTCATTTATTTATACAGACAATTGATCTACATGGTGGCTATTAGTCATATCCACAATTCTGATGGCTGAAGAGTTCTCTTTACCAGTCTGTCACTGCAAGATTTAATGCCCTGATGACAGGTAGGTCAGGAGCTCCCACGTTGGCACGAATTCTTTTCATCCCAGGAAGTCAGCCCCAAAGCCAAAGATAAGATTTGACTTTATCATTGAGGAAAAAAATGCTATTACAACAGTCATCTCGATAATGAAACTCCATCATTGAGAAAAGTAGCCAAGTATTCTCTAGGGTTAGTTTAGAATCTTGTTGCAAGCCTAGAAATCATCTTGCAATCAAGTGCATCCCACAGGGTGGGTCAGAGACCCAAATGTTTATGCCACTGCATTTAGAAGCAGACACTGAGAAATTCAAGTTCTCACAAAGAACCATGGTTTAGCATCCAAAACATCAGTTTTAGCAATGAGTTTTAAAAAGGTTGTGCAGCTTCAATCAAGTAACATAGCCATTCCCTTTGGATCTTTTAAACAAAGAGCATTAGACTAACCTTATTACAGTGACGCCCAATACCCATTAGGAAGTTATCTGGTTTAATGTCTCTGTGTATAAAATTCTTTGTGTGCACATATTCAATTCTACTGATCATCTGTAAAAAAACACAGCAACAACAGAACAGGTAAGATTTCAATGACAGCAATACAATTCACTTAAACCTTCAATGAAAGCATTAATTTTTAATGTTACCTTCCTCTGCAACTTAAGTTTATATCTTTGCTTAATGAAAACCAAGCCTTTTTTTTTAATACTGTTCAAATAAATTTATCTTTTTTATACATTAAAGTTCCATAATCTTGGTCAGGAAATGGCAGATTAAATACCTGAAGCTATTTCCCAGACATTCAAGTTCATGTTCTAACTATAGTGTCCTATTAAAGAGCAATTTCTTTTTCTTACTTCAAACAAAGGTTTTCTATACCTACCACAAGACAATTTTAAAGCTCATTCCCTCCCCCTGTCCCAGTTATTCATTCATCATCAAGCATCGCTTTTCCAGGTAATAGTTTTCACGGAGCAAGTAACAACTTGATTGTGGTCCATACTGTCATATCTAGGCTACTGTGATCCAGGAGTAACAGTCAGCAATGAAGACGCAGAGAAACTCTGGCACATCTATATCATCATATACAGTCATGCGATTTCCTGTGCGTGAGATCACAGCACACGCATTTATGTGGCAGAGCTTTCCAGCTACTAAAACACTCTTCACGCAGTCTTTAGTGAGTTGAATTATTACAACATCATACCCTTGACAGCTGTTCTACTGGCCCTAAAAGCCAGTTCCGTGCACTGATATCATACATCCCGTCTATGTTTCCCAGATGACAACTAATTAGTGTTTATCATCCAAAGGAATACTGCATGAAAACCACACAGATTCCCTGGAGATGCTGTAACACCCAGACTAGCTAACTGAGCAGGCAAATGGCGCTCTCAAGCAAGTGCACCACTCACTTAAGGCAGCTGAGAATAGGAACAGCTGACCTTGTCTCCATACAAATGCCGTGAGCTTCCTTGGCCAAGAGCCTGAGATTCTACGAGCATCTGGCTAAGTGACAACTTGGTACTAACATCAATTGTGTAATATTAGATGACATTTAAACTACCATTGAAAATTAAACTCGTGAAACCCTTACCGCCTTTCAAGTAGCTGAAGACAGCACAATCAAGCTATTTATTAAACAGCAAGAAATAAGTATGGCTGGCCATTTCAAATGCTGTACTTTCATGACCAAGTTGAAAAAATATCAATTGCTAGAAAAAGACTTAACAGACCTCAGTTTTAGAGGTCTTGATTAAGTTTGAGGTAGAGCGGCATCTCCACTAACAGCTTTAAGAACTGTCTTTAAGCATCACAACAACCAAAACAGTATTTATTAGTTCATGGTCTGGTACTAGAAGTTACAGGAGGTTGTGAGCGCATAGTGACATTCAGTAAGAACAGACCCATAGACTTGCATGTTGCCCACCTGTCACTACAGCTGGCCAGCACGTAACAGGTTTCCATTGAATCAGATCAACCATAACTGGAGACTGCTTCAGACCTGCTAACACCCCCCCCACGGCTGATATTGGGAGTTAATCCACCCATATTAGTCTCGATACTTTAATAAAGTTGCACTTCTTAGACCTGCAGCATCAAGGAGTTGGTATCTGCGCTGCACTCCCACTACAGGCCTATGTTGATTTTGTATGCCACAGCACACAGAAGCCACCATTACTTCGTTCCTATATAGGTCAAGTGTTCACTTAGCTATATACAACACTGCGTAACACATTATTTAACCCACTTAAAAGAACCACGTTGCACAAAATACTTTAGGGTTTTTAACTTCCTCACAGTAAGATTTGTACGTACCTGGTCTGCTAACATAAGTACTGTTTTCATCGTAAACCTGCGAGAACAGAAGTTGAATAGGTCTTCGAGGCTGGGACCAAGAAGATCCATAACTAGAACATTGTAGTCCTTTTCTTGACCATACCACCTGCAACAAAGAGAATTATTCAGCGTTAGCAGGAATCCTAATGCAGCCCAGGATACCATTAGCCCTCTTGGCTGTACGGGCACATTGCTGACTAATGTTCAATCTTTAAAGCTAAGTAAAAACGAAGGCTAGTAGTGTCTTATTTTTCCTGGAAACGAAGTCTGAGGACAAAACAGAATACACAAGTTGGCAAGCGTGTGTGCACACATTTAATTTTCTCTTAAGAGGAAACACTACTACACTTTAGCAGCAACTGAAATACCAAACACCAAAATCAAAATGCAATCAAAGCAGATGCCATTACAGGTCAATATACTGAGGCATGTGTACAGAGTCTGAACTGAAACTCATCTGCAGGACACCTTACACTCCCATCATTGTTTCCTGTGTTATTTAACTTACAGAAACATCTTTAAATGCTTTAGGCTTTGTTTTCAAGTATGATTTCTCTGCAACAGACCAGCTCATGCAGTTAACTCATATACTACCTCTTTGTTCATTCATCCAAATTTAACAAATGGCAATCAAGTTCTACCGTCCTATTAAGTAGGAGATAAAGGCTCTTTAACAGGTTTTCAAAATCATAAAGGGAAAAACACTTAAGTGTCATAAAAGCAAAAATACAAATGTAGCAAAGTATCAACTGCAGCCAAACAGACTGCGATATCCACCCTTAAGTGTCTGATATATCAACTCGGGGCAAAAAAGTAAATGTTACCAATGCTGTGAGGACAAGCAGAAGGCCTCCCATGCGTATTTTTCCTTCCAATCCATGTCTAGCATTTCCATCATAGTATTGCTTTACATTATCTGCAACTGTGGGATAGTATTTCACCACCTAAGCTGCCTGAGAAGACCTGGAATCACACCCTTCACTTCTGCAAAACTCAGCTGTGAATTCCCATACTTTAAATGGGCACTGAAAGACAGAACCTGAATATTCTTCTCCACAGTCCTTCTGCACCTTGCAGATACTTACAGTTAAGTGAGAGGTGTGTGTAAAAACTGTTTATGAAGCTGTACTGAGTACTAGTACATCACCGTAAAGATTCACCGCCTTATTGATCAGAAGGCTGCGTTTTGCCTTTGCTAGGCACCTAGTCCTTACAACAAGGACCTAGTACCAGCAGTCAGTGGATAAGGCACTGACCAGCTCTCTCCTGGAGGAGTCTTGACGTCTCCAACAACAGCAGTGCAGACAAGATAAACCAAGAATACACCCTATAAGAGCATGCAGATAAAAATTTAAAAAAAAAAAATCTCAAGATTCAGCTCAAACACAGTAGTAGCTGGGGCTTAAAGATCTATATAGACATTTTATTTCCTCTTTAGGCAATGACTCCAGGACACTAATGCATAATTGTCTGGAAAATAGTTACCACTGATAAAGCCAACAAATTCCTCGGTACTCATAGGATTCCAAGCTTAGCCAGGGTAGTAAAGTAAAATGTTTACAAAACCGCAAAGAAAAAGATTCTATATTTGGATTTGTTTCAGTAACTACTGGCCTGTACCTTCCACTGTCAGGATTCTAGTAGAAACCATGCACTTCATAATGCATTGTTATAAATCTGATAGGAGTTATAGAAGAGCTGTGGATCATACTAATTGTTTTACAGGTCAGCCTAGGACCTTTATTCATTCCCTACATCAAGGAGGGATGCAGAAAATATGTATTTTGAAAGAAGTCATTCAAATGAAATGTCAACAAAACAGTTTTCCTCCAACATGTTAATAATCATATCAATACTGTAAGTACTACTTAATCAGCTTTTGCCTTCTAAAAATTCATTGAATGTACTATGATGTACAAAAAACCCCAAAAACTTACAAGTGACTCAACTAGGAAAGCATACTGCTGGTATTATTTGATAAAGTCTGTAATTTATGAAAAGGTGAATATTCACACTGCAACCTGACACCGAGCCATGAAATGTACACATTTTGAAAAGACCTGCCTAGCTAGGCCCTTGTAAGGAGTGATCAGAAGCTAGTTTCAACTGCAAGAGCAACTAAAAAGAGTATTTAAAAAATGCAATGCAGAGATGAAGAAAGAGTCAAAATGAGATGCTGTTAAGAAAAGTTGTTAACTACAAACCGGCTTCAGTTCAAGAATTACTGACTATGCCTGTAAATCTACTTCTTCGTTCCTATCAAAGTCACCTAAGCAAATGGCTGAGTAGTTTTGACAAGGCTCTATAAACAACTCCATAGGTCACAGTTGAAAACGAAACATTATGGTCATCTAGAGTAATGAAAACCAGAACAAATGACCTGCCTAGTTATTCTGTTATATGAAATTTAGGTTTGTTGTGAAAAAGTCTGAAGAATAATGAGCTGAATTGAAGCATTCTAAGGAGTAAATCAAGATCTAGATAAAATACTATTTTCTTCTAGAAATGGAATTCCAATTCAGATGCTGAGTGTAATTGTTCAGTACAGTAATGGTTCAGTGCCCAGGAGACTGCAGTATAAAGGAAAAGGATCAAAGATCAGTCTTCAGCTGAGCTAAGAAAATTTAGTTACATCATCACAGAAAAAGTGAAGCTGATGAAAAGGAAGCCTACCCTGAGAACTATACTTTAAAAAGCATTTAGGGATCTCTCTGCTTAGTAAGTGCAGTAATGTTGATTGCACAACCTCCATTTGGCCTACTTCTACCTATGCACAAGAAAATTTTAATCTCCTGACCATTTTCCACTGGTGGAAAGCAGAATCAACTCTGCAAGACAAAGAAATAAGACAGGAGCTCTTAACATTTCATTTTCATGTTTACCTGCCTGTAATTCCTCACAGAAGACTGCCACATCTATTCATTTCACTACTGGCAACCGAAACATCTGCTAGGGTATTGGAGTGCTTTATTTACTTTGCTAACACTGCAAGTAAGTTTTCATTTCCCTTGGAACATTTCCAGGGAAAATGGGATTATGAAGTAAGGCTACATCATGTCCATTCAAAATCTAGTAGCTGCTACTACTGGCAGCTCTGAGTAAAAATGTTAGAAGTCTTGTCTCTTCTTAGGAAACCTTGGATATTATGATACATAAGAGCTTGTCAAGTACTCCTTACTCCCATATTCACATATCAATGTAAGATGGCATATAAGCACGCATTTTGGATGAGCACAAATTCAGAGCACTTTGGCATGCAAGTTTTAACACTATTGGGCTGAAGTGCAAAACAATATGGCAACAAACTGAGCACAATTATAAAAAAAAAAGCTAGCGTCTCAAAGAAAAATCTTCAGAAGTTCTAATACTGCATCAGCAATGAAACTTGGAGTGAACTACTAATATGAAGGAATGATCCATACAAAGCCCTGGGCAACTATTAGATGACTCTAGCATCTTAGAACACAAGTGTCCTGCATGTCTGTTAGAGCTGCATGGATTTTTTTTTTTTTAAGCACACTTGGAAGTAGTCTCTCCCATACTAAAGTTGAGGAAGCAACAGCAGCAATACATTTTAAGCAGGGAGAGTTTTGGAGGGGAGTAGAAAGTGGGAGCAAGAGATTTAACTACTTGACAGTTCCCTTTGGGTGGGTAATGACTCTGAATATAGTTACATACAATGTATTATTTCAAAAAGAAAAGCTAAATTACTAGACTAGGAAAACTCATTATTTCTCTAATTAATTCCCACAGTGCTGTATGTCCCATTAGGACTATTTCCTAAATAGAGAATTTTGATTCTGTAGCACAGGTCCATTTATACCTTACTTATGCCAAAAACCCCCACAAAGCACAGATTATTTATTCTCAGCTTTCCTGAAGAACAGTAGCAGATGATCTTATTGAAGACTACACAAAACATTAACAGGATAATATTATTATGAAGACCTAAGATTTATCCTTGAACTGGCAGCATAACACTAACATCTGATACAACTAATAAGAACCCTAGTCCATATTCAAGCTATAAGGCGTGCCCAAGCTCACGCATGCATGAAAATGCTTCGTCACTCTCCCTTGCCTCATCTGTTTAAAGCTACAGATTAAATTAAACTACAGATCAGTTAGAATACAATAAATATCCTTTATGAAGCTTTCTGTCAAAGCATGGTTAAAGATTGAACAGTGACCTTAATTTAACTTCAGTGACTTGTCTAATTTGAAAGACCAAGACTCACCACATCAACAAGTTTTCAAATCATGTGGTTTAGCAGCCTGACATATTGCCCCAGTATACGCACACAGCTGAAGTTTTGTAACATCTTTAATTTCAGTATTTGTAGCTCTATGCTGAACAAGTAAGTCACATGACAGTGGTTTCCAAATCCCATACAGTAAAGCAGGTATGATGCCAGATCACATGACAAGTGAATGTTTACTTGAACTCATGTGGGGTGGTTTTTTTAATTCCCTTAACTAACCTTGAAACAAGCAAATGAAGTGCTGATGCACGTCTAGCACTTAATAGCAAATCCTGTAGTCAGGTCTACCCAAACTTAAAATCCTTTTCTGTTTTCAGAGCTGCATCTTTCAAAAATTGTATGATGTCTTTTTCAGCAACTGCATATTCTGTAAATAATGTTAATGATAGAAGAAATGCTTGAGAAAATGTTTGTTAATAGCTTGTCTTTTTTAACTGAGAAAACATTTCATTTGGTTATTATAATATTCTCTTCACATCTAGTGTATCTTCCTTTGAAAGGGTCAAATTGTGGTAGGTCAGCTAGCACAGAGAGGTGGGCAAAGGGCTAACAGAATTCAGACACAGGCTATGAAATTATAGGCCCAGTTTCAGACTACAGTACCACTTACACAATTTTAGTACATTGGCACTTGTAATTATAACAACAAGGTAACAAAACTAGCACAATTATCAAAGCTGTGTGAGCTGGTCACGTGATGAATAAAAGAAAAGGATTCAGAAGATTCACATTAAAAAAACGCAAATTCAGATCAAGATGAACTAAATTACTGAATAACTGTACAGCTGCTAATCACTGGTAAAGAAACCCCAAATCCCATGCATTCTGAAACCACGAAGGCAGT